CTCCCGTCGGCCTCTGCGGCGCCAAGGGGGCTGAATCGTCGCGAGAGCCGGCAGTGTGGGACGGGCGGGTCGGGCCCTGTCAGGCCGTGCGCTGCCTCACCTCGCTTCCCCGGTCGTCATGGAAACGGCGCCCCGTTGCCGCGACAATGCCTGGCTACCCCGGTTTCCCAGGGCCGCCTCTGGTCTCCGCCGCCCCGCGGTGCTGCGCCCTCGCCGCGGACACCCCCAACGGAATCCACCGCATCTTCGAAGCCATCGCACGCTTTCGTGCAGTAGTATTTCGAGACCTGGCGCGGCGGCGGGACACCTGCACTGCAACAATTGTCGTTGTCTAACCCAGTTTTCTGATGACCCCGGAAGGCCCCACTTGCAGAGCCGACTCAGTTTACCCAGGGCTATTAGCCTATTCCCTGGGAATGTTTGTTGAAGGCAATTACAGGCAAGTGTAATTTCAAAGCTGCCGGAGGCAATGGATAACCGCTGGGGTAAATAATAGACTAATCAAAAAGCTTAAAAGGAAGAAATGGGAACCACAGCGTGCACAGGGGCGTTGAAAAGCCGGACCAGGTGTTTCTGAAATATAGATGGTCACAAACTGAGCAGGACTGTGCACATGCTCATGAAAGACCTGAAAAGACCTAAGTGCTCGCTTCTTGGAGGGAAATGAAGCCTAAAGCAGAGTTGTAAACCGTCTGGCTGAATTCTGAAAGCATGCCCTACATGCACACAGAGCTACTTAGGAAAGACTGGGAGATGTCTTGCTTCCAGGCACTTAGGGAAATTTCTGTCCAATCATTAACTGACCACTAAACTAACCAGGTAGAGACTTCAGTGGCTACCCATGACAGATAAAAGACTTGACAGAATTAGTTCAGAAAAGGCACTACATAAATGTCACTACCACAGCAACAACAACAACAAAAGATGAAGTCTGATTTCCAGAATTGCCACATTATATCGTTTAAAATGGCTAGTTCTCAGAAAAAAATTATGAGACATGCAAAGAAACAAGAAATTGTGGCCTATAAATAGGGAAATAAAAACCAATCAATAGGAAATATCCCTGGGGAAGCTTAACAATTTAAATGTATTCAAAGAACTAAAGGAAAGTATGAGAATAGTATCTCATCAAATAGAGAATGTCAATTACAAGAAATTATAAAAAGGAACAAAATAGAAATTATAGAGTTGAAATGTGCATAACGGAAATGAAAATTTTTACTGGAGGGGCTCTATTGCAGATTTGAGTAGGTAGAAAAAAGAATTAGCAAACTTGAAGTTAGATCAATTAAGATTGTCTGGTCTGCAGAACAGAAAGAAAAAAATTGGAGAAAAATTAGCAGAGTCTCGGAGACCTGTGG